ACCTAGACGCAAAAATATGGTCCCCACTATACCACCTCAGTGTCTCCGGGTCACAATTAGTTTATTCCACCTTCATAGCTCCTATATGTCCTTGTCTTTAAGAAAGTGACTACACATCATAGGTGCCCAACATATGTTAGTCAAACTGAAACGAAAGAGCCATGAATATCTACGACATAGGCATATCTGTTAGGACATCTTTTACAAAGGACAGCTGAGAAATCATTGCTAATTCTTGTTGGGAAATGATTGAACTTTACATGGGGAGAGACTAGCTCTGGGTATTTGGTAATCAATCAATAAATCAACATTTTAATATAGCTCTTTGTTTTTGTTAGCTTTCTCTACATCTTCCTTACTGCCTGTACTACCCATAGATTTTGGTCAATCCAAATCTTGGGCTAGTGAGATCTAGACCACATCAAGAACTCTCTTCTGATCTGTAAGGGAAGCAGGGATAAGTTTAATTTATTATGCTCTTGGGAACAACATATATGTGCCTATATCCTAGCAATTAATTCACAGTGTGAGAATGAAGAGTGACTAATAGCACCTTCTCCATGAAGTGGGGAGATGCTTCTGGATTATGTAAGAGGGTCCAATGTCATTACAAGGATTCCTATTAGAGGGAGGCAGCAGAGTCAGACTCAGTAAAGCAGATGTGACAAAAGAAGCAGAGATCAAAATAGGGAGGGGCCACCAGGCTAGGAATACAAGCAGCCTCTAAAGCTGGGGAAGGGGAGGAAACCATTCTCCCCTCCAACCTCTAAAAGGAAGGCAGCCCTGCCAACACCCTGATTTTAGCCCAGTAAACATGATTTCAGACTTTGGGCTTTCAGATCTATAAGAGAATACATTTATGTTACGTTAAGCCACTAAGTGTGTGGTAACTTGCTACAGCAGCAATAGGAAACTAATACAATGCCATGGCTTCTGAGTGGAGAATGGGTTGGAGGGGGATCAGAGGTGGAACTGGGAGGCCAGCTGAGATGCTATTACAACAATCCAGACAAAGTAGGTCTGTCCAAGCGGAATGGTGGCTGCATAGACCTGAGCTAAAGAAACAAACTGGGGATCTATTTTGGAGGTAAGGCTGACAGGACTGGCCAAATTCCCATAGCTCCTAAACCACTCTTTGTCTTGGCAGAAGCTGGAACCCCTGGGTACTATTTGGCACGCTAGAGTCATCAGTCTTAGAAAGTAAGTGCTGCTTTACTAGGTGACTGATTTGACAAATAAATAATTTACTCACCACCGGAAACATCCAGCCAATGGGAGAAAAAAACCAGCTCACAGCCCGGACTAAACAAGTTTCAAGGCAAACTCTTGGGTTCTGTACTGTCGTAAGGAATGGAAAAGCAAGGTCAGAGAGAGCAGCAGGCACAAAAGCAGATGCCTTCCAGGGGAAAACTGTGCTGTGGTCTAACCCCAGGCTCTGCAGAATTTCCTCTTTACAAGAAGAAAAGTTCTTTTCTCCACCATGGAAAAGAGAAGGAAAGTAATAGCCTTTTCACCCCAGTACTATTTGTCAGACCTCCAGTCCATGCCTCCTGCGGGCCAGGACCCCACCTGGCTGATTGCAGTGAGGCCTTCCTAGAGGCAAGATGCCAAGCTGTGGCCTCTGCCCACAGTGCCCTCGCTGCAGCCCAGGCTGTCTGAAAGGCTAGCTTGAGCACTGAAGGCCCAGGGAAGGGGGACATCCCTCAGGAGACCAGCAATGCTGCCCTGTCACACAATAGACATGTTCATCTCGGGGAGAAGACTAACAGAAGCTCTCCCTCCACCAAGCCTCCAGGACCTTGACTGCAGGATTTCCCTAAAATCACCTCCCCAAACTAGCCCCACCATCCCACATCATCACGCCTTTTCCTATCAGTACCGAGTTCATCTCAGCTTCCCGAGGACGCAGCTGACCCAGCAGACAGGTCTCAGGGCTGCAGCGTGACTCTTATTTACCCCACAGTCTGCATCGTTGTGCGTTGTCCTGTGTGTGCCACGCACTGCCCTTTCCTCCAACACACTCTGATTTTCTAACTCTCCCTAGAAATGAAACCACTTGTCATCACAACACAGAGGCGCCCCAACCCAGGGTTTTGCACTGTTGAGAGGGGAGGGGAGCATCCTCATTATCACGTTAGCAGCGGGATTGCCAGTGCTGATCCCTGAGGCTCAGAGCCTCCCACGAGGAGCTCTTCTCCACAAGGGAAGAGGGAGTTAGTTGTGCGAACAAGGTTCAGAAGGCTGTGCGCCCTCTCTCCCTGCCTGGCTCCAAATCCCCCAGTCTCCTGCATAATTGCCCTGTCCTCCAGCGTTTGGAGATCATTTGCAGCTCTAGTCTCTTTTGTTTGTTTGTTTGTTTTGTTTTATTAAGGTATTACATATGTGTCCTTATCCCCCCATTGCACTCCTCTCCCCCCCCCCCACTCATGCCCTCACCCCCCTGGTGTCTGTGTCCATTGGTTAGGCTTATATGCATGCATACAAGTCCTTTGGTTGATCTCTTCCCCTTACCCCCACCCTCCCCTACCTTCCCTCTGAGGTTTGATGGTCTGATCGATGCTTCTCTGTCTCTGGATCTGTTTTTGTTCATCAGTTATGTTGTTCATTATAATCCACAAATGAGTGAGATCATGTGGTATTTATCTTTCTCTGACTCACTTATTTCGCTTAGCATAATGCTCTCCAGCTCCATCCATGCTGTTGCAAATGGTAGGAGTTCCTTCCTTTTTACAGCAGCATAGTATTCCATTGTATAGACGTATCTCCATAAGGGTTTAATCTCTAGCATTTACAGGGAACTCATACAATTTAACAAAAGGAAGATAAACAACCCAATCAAAAAATGGGAATTGGACCTAAATAGATACTTTTCGAAAGAGGACATAAGGAAGGCCAAGAGACATATGAAAACATGCTCAAAGTCACTAATCATCCGAGAGATGCAAATCAAAATGACAATGAGGTACCATCTCACACCTGTCAGAATAGCTATCATCAACAAATCAACAAATGACAAATGCTGGTGAGGATGTGGAGAAAAAGGAACCCCCTGCACTGCTGGTGGGAATGCAGACTGGTACAGCCACTGTGGAGAACAGTATGGAGTTTCCTCAAAAAACTGAAAATGGAACTTCCATTTGACCAAGTGACCCCACTTCTAGGAATATATCCCAAGAAACTAGAAACACCAATCAGAAAGGATATATGCACCCCTATGTTCATAGCAGCACAATTTACAATAGCTAAGATTTGGAATCAGCCTAAGTGCCCATCAGCAGATGAGTGGATTAGAAAACTGTGGTACATCTACACAATGGAATACAGCTCCAGTCTCTTATCCTAGAGCTTATGCAGCCTCATCTCAACCCAGCTGAGCTGGTCACAGGCCTAGTGTTCTTACCCAGGACAATCAGAACAGATCACTCTACCATTTTTTAAGGCACACCATTTTGACTTAATGGTCCCATTTCTGCCCCAAACCTCTCACTCTCTAGATTAATAACTCACTTGACCTTTTCACATCCCCCAGATACCCAAAATGTTTTATGGGCACCTCCATTTTTATTGATAAGGAAAATCAAAGTGCTTTTTATTAATGAGGAAAATCAAAATGCTTTGCTGAAAGAATAACACAGATGCCCCGTGCTCATAGGAAGGTGCCCTCCAGCTCTGGTCCCTCCCATCAGAACCAGACCTCATTCCTGGCCTCTATTTTGGGAAGCTTTTCATCCCACAGGCCACAAAGGCAGCCAGTTCCCCGAAGAGAACGGCACTGTGAAGAACACAGAGGTCACACTGGATACCGTGTGCTGCTAGTTGATTACGCCCTTTTCCAAGTCCGTCCTTGGTACAGACGCAGTGAATGCCTGTGATTCTCATTCCGGCAATTAGTTTTGATCTCTCTCAGGCTTAATGCTGTGTCCAGTTGTTCTGAAAGAGAAAAGAAATGCTCTCTGCCTCTGCACCATTTATTTTTATATCTGCATTCAATGAAGACTTATTGAAGCTGAGGTCTCTCCCAGGCATTGTGAAGGATAAGAATGAATCATTCCCCACCTTCAAGAAGCTAGTAGCATAGAAGAGAGAAAATGTGTACCCAGTATATGACATACAATATACTCCAGTGTTTGAGGGAGAGAAAGGGCCCTTCCTTTTTTCAACAGATAGATGCTGAGCATGGTTTAAGGCAGGGGGATAGGGAAGTGAAGAAGGCAAAAGAGGTCTTTCCCTTCATGGGGAGAGATGATCATTAAACCAATAAAAAAAGTTAAATATACAAAGTTAATTTAAAAAGTGACCAATACAATTACTACAAGAGGAATGGGATAGGATGGGATGGAGGTCAGCTTAGAGCAGGTATTCAATGGACCTACCTGGAAGGTGAGCTTCTTCCTGAAAGACGAGCGGGTCCCAGCTGTACAGGCCTAGGAAAGGGAGGAAACAGGTGCCAAGGCCAGGAGGTGGGCACAGACGGGGCGGGGGGAGGGGGCTTTAGGAGAGAAGTTAAATTGGTGTTTTACAAACACAATGGCATCAGAAAAGGCACAGAACTGGGAAAGCATGAACTGCATTCCCTTGGCAGCAAGCATGGATTTGAATCAAGGTAAGGTGAAGCCTGCAGGCAGGGTGCAGTGAGACTATTTACGGAGCCCCCAGGGCCACGCTGTCTTTGTGAGCAGGAGCGCAGTCTCTGGCTTGATAAGAATGTGTTTTAGGAAGATTTCTCTGGCCTTCGTGGGAACTAGCTTTTCCTTTGACAAACAAATATCCCTCTGTGCTTGTCGAAGCTTCCTATTTCCTGGTAAATATTCATCTTCATGCCTAGGTTTCTTGTAAGAGGCTGGGCTATAAAGCAGTTTTAAGTGTGCTGGCAATATAATTTGTGGGGCCCAGCGCAAAATGAAAATGCCGGCCCTTTGTTCAAAATGCAGTGCAAAAGCTTTTTCCTTTCTCCAGCCATCTCTGTCACAGCTAGTCATGGTGTTTTGTGTCTGTTACTTAATACACCATAACTCCCTCAGGATGTTCATGGGGGCAAGTGCAGCTGGTCACAGGCACCAAATGCCCCCCCGCCCCATCCCCTGCACCCTCTGGAACCCACACCCCGCGCCCTGCAGCAGGGGAAGGAAACAGTGGTCACTGAGTGGGACGCCCACACTCTGACCACAGAACAGAGACAGAAGTGGAACCACACACAATCCAAGGCTCCCCACCCCCGGCACATGCTCCATTGTTCTCCTATTTCACATACAACACACAACTCAAAGGTACAATCATTAAGAATTTCACGATGCGAATTGCATCCTTCTGCATTTGGGGCTTTGGCACATGTGAAGCCCGCCTTAGTTTGAGGCCTGATGAGAAGGTAACTGCATCTCAACATGGATTGAGGTGATGAAATTAAAGCCACTTGGTACTCAGCTGGACATCACTAGTTATCTTGCAACCTTAGCTGGAAATGTAGACCTTGTCCTTGAGCTGGGAAGGGATAAAAGGACAGTGGTCAGGCTCACATTTCAAAGGTGAAGGCCTAACCAGCTTGTTTCTGACCACACTCCCCTTTCAGCCTGTTCAAATCCATCAAATGGTCGTTTATGGATTGCTCACTATGTGTGAGGAATGCACCACACTGCCCTGTGCCCTCTGGGATTACAATATGAGAGAATTGCATTTTATGCAAAGAATGTTTTCTCAAGAACTGATGGAATCCAAGAAGAGTCTTGACAGAGAACGGCAGGTACTTCTAGTTACCAGGTGAAGAAGTACTGCCTTGTGGTAATAGAGTGAAAAGAATTCTTTTGGCCCATATGTTTTGGAATTCTTGTTCATTTTTTATTTAATTTGGGAGTATATCTGATTTTGTGCCTAATGTTTGCATAATACGATTGCAAATTTGCATAATTCAAATTGTCATAAAAGGACCTACACAGTTCCTAAAGGCATATTGTTGGAATTAAACTAAAATATATAAAGCATCTAAGCAACCTTGGAAACAAACAGGAAGAAAATTAAAGGTAGTCATTCTTATTGTTGTTATATTCAATAATATTCCCAATAAATCACAGTATCCAATCCCAAAGAATAGTGTCTCTAGGCTATAAAGTTGGAACATTTTTTTTATCAGTATGAGTAGAATAAAAGTAGAGCACGTAGAGTTAAAACATTTCATAGGAAAATACCGTTTAGCATTGAGGTTCTAAGTGTTTTTCCTCTGAAGGGAAAATTAATACCCAGTTAATTCTTTTGTTTCTGTGCTAATGAGGAACAGAGTAGCACATCAAACCTACACATCATCCCAAAGCTTTCATCTAATCAGTGATTAGGATACATCTTCCATGATGTTATTTTTCTTTGTCCTCACCATGGGGGAAGGATTAGAGATCAATGAGGTCTCTGAATGAAAGGCCAACAGTGGTAGAAGCATTCTGCAAGGTCATTCTCTGAACAGCTAGTGAGTAAGGTACCCCCTGAGCATCAGAGCAGGGCCAGGGCACCAGCGTTCAGGGCACCCAGCACCATCCTTACGCAATCCGATGGCAGGCTTCCCTTTGGCTCTGGCCATTGTCATCATTGTCATCTGTCCTGCGTAGCATGTCCTCCAGAGCCAGTCTTTTATCTTGGTGGGACCTTGAAGATCAAAAGAGGCCCAAAGTCACCAGACAAGTAGCCTTCACACAATCCCAGGGACAGGAAAATTTTTATGAACACAACTAGGGAGACTTATCTCTGGAGAGGTCATGTCACTGCTCTGAAGAAATACAATAAAACACTAGAAACTGATGCTGGATTCCAGGACTCTGGGCTCCTTAACAGTTGTCCACCCACTATTTCCTCTGGATGCAGCACTGTCTTAGCTACTATCTGGGAAAAACGCAATGTCTCCTCAGATGGAGCTTGTCTGTACCCTGGTCCATTATACCTACACAAAATAGTCCATCTAACAATAGACTGAGAGCACCTTTTCTGGATTTCATAGACTGGGACCCAGGCTTCAACCCTGGAAATCTGCAACCTGGGCAATTCAGTGGAGTTTTCTAAGCCTTAGAAAACTATAGGATGGGGCTAATAACAGCCCTGACCCCCCAAGGTGAAGGCAAACATGATATGCCTTTATGAAATAAATCTGATTTCATAATGACAGTCTCGTGTTGTGGTTAGGTGAACCTTGGTTCACATCCTAGCTTTACCACCTATTAGCTGTGTTTCCTTGGTCAAATTACTTAACCTCATGGGCCCCCCCTCCCCACTTCCTTGTTTGTAGAAGGAAAATAATGTAACCCTCATGGTGAGATCATTTTATAACCATGCCCAAATCAACAAGGAGTATTAAGACATCTTTCTGGACATGTAGAAACAGGACGAATCTGCTGCCGTTTTAATCTTCACTCAAGACTAAGGCTAAACAGCATTCAGAAATCACCTACACTATATTTACCTGTATGCTGATGAAATTTCTTTTCCTTTTTTCAAAGGTCTGAGTCATTCCGTTTTCTTGAGGTTAGCCAGAGAGGGTTTGCTAGAAACTTCCAGTAAACTCTATGGACATGACGCAGCAACTACTAAAAGAGGGTTAGGTTTTCTGACCCTTTCTATCACCGCCCTGGGGTTTCACTGTGGATCACAGGATGGGTTATCTCACTGGAGGCAGGTTCAGAAGAAAGGCTTCCCTTTATCATTTACTACAAATACTAAACCAGCGGGCAGCTATGCTTTTCAGATGCACAGAGAGATTTCTCACAGGAACATGACACATATTATATGTCCTCTCCCTCATTTGTACCTGTCATTTATCTCCTAAAAGGGGTATGCCCTGACCTCATAATCTCTTACTTAAGAACAAGAGACTATCGTTCCACTTTGCTAATTTCATTTGGTTCCAAAGAAAAATAAGAAAAGTTTTTATTATATGGTGACTCTTGGGGGAGCACCTAGACCCATAAAGAGAGTATTTGATGGAGTATCTCCCACAGGAGATGATTAAAAGTGCACACCATAGTGCAGAACTCAATCTCAATAAATATCAGGAAAAAAACCCCACATGAATCACTATATAATTCAGCACTCAATTATATGGCACAGGCGTGCTTTGTAGGAACTTCACTACTACAGTTAAGCTTTCCCTGGCTTCCCCCCATAATTCCAAATTAATATTTCTTGTCTTGTGTGTCAATTTGTGCATCAGCTCTTTCTCCAAGCCTTTGAACCCGAAAGCCACGCTGGCTGTGGCCTTTCACAATTGCAGACATTTTAATTTAAGTTAAATTAATTTAAACAGAAGAAGTTTAATATAAAGAACTATTAACCAATGATAGAAAAGTAATTATAAAAATAAAGAAAAGAGAACTCTGGAAGGTATCTTAGAGCAAAGAGGAAGAGCAACCACAGAAGCACAAGTTTGAGAGTAGAGGTTCAGACCTCATTGGAGGGGTTGGTTGCAGCCGCTGAATGATGGAGGATTTTGCTGGGTTGCCTGGGCCAGAGCTGGTCCACAGTCTCTGGACAAGTAGGTACAACCTGCTGTACCTCAGGTGATCCAAGACTGCTGTACAGGTGTGCAATGAGTCAGGAGTACGGAGGGCATCGGGTACTACTGTAGGTGGGAGGTCTAGAGAGTATAGTGTCTGCATTGGCACAGACACAAAAACTACTGTCCACCATGTAGGTGAACCAAGGCCAGGCACACAGAGGCCTTTGGATGCTGGGCGCTGGGGTGCCACAGTGCATGCTGTTAGAACAGGGAACTGGAGAGGTCTCCCTCATGAGAACCTCATGTACTTTTGGGTGCTTCTTAAGCCATGGGGGCAGTATCCTACATGCCCAGTGGCACCAGACTGAGGAAAGGATGTGCAGAGCAGAAACCTGAGATAGAGTGCAGACATCACTCTTTGGGGCTCCCCACAATGCACCACTCCCCAAACTGAGAGCTGGGAAACCCTGGGGAAGCCACATTCTGCTGGCACTTGGCACTGGAGGGCACCTCAGGACCGAGGATGCGGAAAAATGCAGTACTCTCCAGGTCCCTTTGAGCTCCCCACAGGAGCCAGGAGGAACAGTCCTCCTGCCGTGTCTCTCCAGTGCTCTGTGCTGGCAAAGGGGAAACATTTAGAAGTCCCAGATCTCTTCTCACAAATCAGGCAAAAGGTATAAATTAGGGGCAGAGAGGCAACACGTTGGCAGTGGCACCACGGGCAGTGCAGTGGGAGCAGCCCTGTGTGGGCGGTATCAGATGGTTCCGATTATGTTGTCTAGACTTGACTGGCCGCGAGAAGCTCAGCCAGGAGGCTGCTGGAGCGATAAAGGCATGAGATGCCAAGGCCTCAGAGCAAAGTGATGTCAGGAGGAATGAACTAGAGGTGGAGTGAGATATTTCAAAGGAAAAACAAAATTCTTCCTCAGGTTAATCACCCTGTCATAGTCCATTCAGGTTGCTTAACAAAAATATCATAGACATGGTGGTTTACGTAACAGACACTTATTTCTCACAGTTCTGGAGACTGGGAAGTCCAACATCAAGGCTCTGGCAGGTTTGGTGTCTGAGTCACAGACAGCTGTCCTTTCCATGGGTCTTCCCATGGGAGAAGGGGCACTAATCCATTCATGAGGGTTCGACCCTCAGGTTCCAACACCATCGCAGTGACGGTTAGAATTTCAATATAGGACTCTGGCGGGGTGGGAGGGGCAAAAACTTTAGTCTATAACACATCCCAAATTTTTAAAAGTAAAAAAGTGAGGAATCTGCAAAGAGCTTAGAGACAGCCACTTTTCCTCTCCTTGGCAGTGCCGAGTAGGCCGTCACGTGTACAGACAAACATCTGAATCCACTGAGAGCAAAACACTCAGGAGAACCGGGGTCAGACGAGCCCGCCAAAGGACCGTGAGGAAGAATGGGCACATTGGGTTTGGCGAGTTCCCGTGGTCTAAGAACATGGCCAGAAAAGGAACTGAGGAATTGTCAGGACTGAGACCAGAACTCGGTCTAAGGCAAACGCCGTGTAGGGCCTCAGGGTGCAGCACTTCTGGTGGCAGGAGGCACAGACACTCAGTAAGCATTGGTGGGAGGAAGGGAGGGCGGGAGGGTGGCGAGAGGAGAGAAATCTTTAAAATTTAGAATGTTAATCCAGGAGGGGCGGGGTTTGGCAAAGGTCTGAAAGGCACCCTCATAGTGTGAGAGCATAGAGACAGTGATAAGAGCCTGGTTCTCAGCAGCAGGCAGCCTCTACCTGTGGCCTGTGGGAGACTCTCCATCCGTGTGTAACCAGAGGCAGGTCCTGGATCTCTGAGGAAGGGGGAGAGAGCGTTCGGTGAGCTCTGTCACCTGAATGACAAGAATCCAGGAAGAGAGCCAACCACTCAGATCATCACAACTCCCTTCCAGGATGTGACAGGGAAGTCACCCAGCCTCCCTCCCCTCTGCCTGCTCCCTCAATCCAGATGGGGTAGTACTGGGAGGAGGGCCGGGGTGGCCTAGGGCAGGAGCTTTTCTCACAGCTGCCCTGAGTCCTAAAGACAATGTAGTGATGTTTCATTTGCACTTAAACTGAAAGTGGACCCCAGACATAGGAAAGAACCTCCATTGAACAGCTATGTGTCAAACACATTACGTAGATGAACTCATCTCATCCTCAAAGGAAGGTGCTGTTACTCCCCTCCGCACCCCGCCCCCCCCCCCCAGTTTTACAAATGATGACACAGATTTCAAGAGATTAAATCCTTCCCCTTGTTCATGCAACCTATTGTTTTTGGAGCAAACAAACAAACAAACAAACAAGACAAATAAAGAAATTTAGTTTAAATAGAGTTATCCTGTCACCCATATTAAAGCTTCTTGGTAAACTAATTTTCTGGGTTCTTACTCTTCACTTTCATCAAATTCTACAAAATAATGAAAGCTAACATATGAAGGGCAAGACAGTGTTTTTAATATCTTAATAACATATATATATATATATATATATATATATATATATATATATATATATATATATAATTTTACAGGTAAAGGAAAGTGGGGCACAGAGAGGTCACACAAGTGACCTAATAAGTGGTGTGTGAGGATTCCAACCCAGCTCGTCTGGGTGTAGAATTCATCCACAAACCAACAGCACAGTGAGTGCAGAGGGAAACCTTGTGGGACAAACATTCAATGGCAGGGCTTAGGATGTAGGATGTCTTGATGTTATAGTTCACCTGGTGACTTTTTTTTTTAAAACTTGGAACTAGGTCATGAGTATGACTCAGACTTACTACTTCACAGTCTTTCTGTTGTGATGAGAGTATCGCGTGGTAGTTGTTGTACTCTAGGGGATAGTTTAGGAGCCAAGGAAAATGGTGACAAATGAGACATGTGATTGAGGCGGAAGTGTCTCTTCACACTTGCGTTGCCGGAAACGAGTTAAGTCGGCTCGCGTGAATTGCGCGTACTCCGCGGGAGCCGTCTTTAACTCGGTTCATATAGATTTGCGGTGGAGTGCGGGAAACGTGTAAACTCGGGCCGATTGTAACTGCGTATTACCAAATATTTGTTTGTAATCCACCCTTTTGGTGGATGGAACAAAACCAAAAGACAGAGCCATCTTATATTTTGGCGGGAAATTCACCCGCACTCCAAGTGTTCAAAGCTGCAGCGT